CGGATAGATTAACTCACGTGGTTCATCCTTAACTTTGAAAACCTTTGATGGTCAAACTATGAAGCTCGACTAGAATGCCTTTAAATATGGTTCGCAACTCCACCAATATCTATCCAACTTCTGTAAATAGTCAATCATTTCTAGATGCAAGTATGTAAAATTGTTCGAGAGCTTTAAGTCGATTTTTTTTGCTAATTTGAATGTCAGAGTGTTTGTTATCTTTGTGCAGCTTTCTCCTCACACATATCACTTTAAACAACTCCGTCTATTTTACGTACTTATACGTGCTCTCTCTACGGGATCAAACTTTGGTATAAAGAAAAATGGTGAAGTTTTCATTTTCATTTTCATTTTCTTTTATTCTTTTAAGACAAATATATATATAAACAAAAATGGTGAAGTTTTCATTTTCATTTTCTTTTTCTTTTATTCTTCTAAGACAAATATATATATATATATATATATATATATGCAAAATAATGAACTCATTTCTTGTTCAATGAATAAGAATAACAATAATTTATAGTTTGAAAATTACATTATATCTTCAAAACTAAAAGTTTTTTTTTTTAATTCTTCTAAATATCTTCTTCTCATCCCTCTTTTTTCTATCTTGCTCAATGAAATTTCTTTATCACATTGTTCATGATTCATCCTCTTTTAGTCAAAGAAATAAAATTAGGAAAAAATAAATAAAAAGTTTTGGAGAAAAACAAGGGGAAAGGGACGCCTGCTGCCAACTTTATTAACACATTGCAGCTTTTCAGTTATATTATTCTCTTCCAAAGATGATATAGCTTTTAATTTTTGTTTAATTAACATATTAAGTGAAAAATAAGATTTAATCGATTTAATCTACTTTTTAACAGTGCTACCGAAATTCTAATCAAATTTTAAAAATTTTAAAAAGTTTTAATTAAAAAAATGGCTAAGAATTAAAAAAATATTTCTAACCTAAAAAGAGCAAATAAGCTTATTTTTTAAAATTGAAAAACTAAATACAGATGGTTATTAATTTCAGATGATGTGAAGTGAAGAACAATTTATTGGAATTTTTGTCAATACGCATTAAAATAGTATAAACTTTTTTTAGGCATAAAATAGTAAACTTAAATAATTCTTTTTCTGCAAATATATTACTTATATTTATAGAACTTTGGTCAATAGTTCTTTTTTGTAGAAAAGAAAAATAGTTTCAATTTTTCTTATCTGAATTAGAATAGACTTTGATCAAATCAAATTAATTTCTTAGTTTTTTTGGTCTTATATATTTGTAATGTTCAAAAAATATATTTATAATAAAATTCAGCGTGTCGAATCAACTAATCAGTTTAATTCAATATTAGTCAAAATTAAAATCAAAGTGACATATAAACATTGACAAAAAAAAGTTGACCACTTGAAAAAGTAACCAACGAACCTAGTGGATAAAAAATACATATATTTCTTAACAATAAAAGTCAAAAGCATATAATTTGTTTGTTTACTTGCGCGCGCGCGCACATATATATATATATTTGGAATATTTAGAAATATGTACTAAGATGGGATACAATGAGAATACAAATTAAAGCCCTTTGCAAAAAAAAAATACAAATTAAAGTATGGATCATTCATCATCTCTATACTTTCATGTTTGTGTCAATTTCGTCACTCTATTAAAAAATATATATTTTTTGTTATGCATTTTAATTCAATTATCCTAAAAATCTTTGGTGAAGTGGTGTTGGGGTGATTTATCAAGCTCCGTGTGTAAATGAAGCATATGTTGAAAAGTACCCTGACATCGTAAGGATTTGTAGTGTAGAAACACAAGTGTTAAGAGTCCTTGGTTGAGTCGACAAATACATTGATGTTCATATGTGCCTTCATAATGGTCGAGTTGACCAATGTAGATCTCAACTGCTGACATTTGTAATAAAAGACGAGTCGTTGAACAAAGCACCGTGCTTCGTTGCTCTTAATCGTTTCCCTAACAACACACCACAATTCTGAAACGGTTATAACCATTGAGCAAGTTGCGTCCACATGCCAAAACCCTATAAATATAGAATGTTGCTTCACTATTATTTCTCTCACTGAGAATAAATTGGACTTAACTAATCTGAGCGTCTGGAGCTGGGCTCCGAACTATGAGAGTTTGCTTTTCTTTCATTTTCTAAGAGCGGTCTGACCCCTTATTTGATCAGACCGCTCCTGGTCTTCGAACTAGTCATTAATGGTCGGCTTCATTGGTATCTTTTCGGTATGCGTTCCGAACACTTTCATTTTTAGCGTCTCATCTTCTCTAGAGAAGCGAAACTCGAACATCTCGAGCAGATGGTCCAACTAAATAACTTTTTCTTTTTCATTACTTCCATGGTCGTGCCTCGTGGCATGGCAGAGTCTTTCCCTCTTTCTATACAGGTTCTGATCAACATTCGTCAACCTACCTAGTTTCAGCTTTCGACTTGTTTTCATGATAAAATAAATTGTGTTAAATACAATATAAAAGTCAATACAATATAAATCCAGACATCAACAGTTTTTGAACAATTATTAATGATAAGAATTATTAAAATTTATAATTAAAATTGAAATTAACACGAACATGAAATCGAAAATAAATCCTAGAGGGAGAGAGAAAAGAGACGGAGGATTGTGTGTAAGGGGCGGCACAGCCTTAAACCTACCGCTTACCTTTTTAGCCAGTTTGGCAGAAGACTACAAAGACTGGTCGGTTCTATGGTTTACATGCCTCTTTTTTCTTTTTCTATTTTATTTTATATTTTATTCTCTCTTTGGTTTTTTTTTTCCCCTTCTTTAATCCGAAGGGGTTGAATGAAGGCTTTATTTTGCAATTGCTTTTATTTTCCATTATAATTAGATGTATAGGTTTTATTTAATTTTATTAATTTTGTTTTAAATTTTAATTTTATCATTAAATGGGTTACAAGTTCATCCAAGCTTTAGTTTAAACTAAGAAAAAAAGTAATATATCAATATAAAGGAAATGCCAATATCTTAAATTTATACAATAAATATTTATGTCATCAAATATTATCTAGGGACACTATGAAAATCCATAGGAATTATTTGGATGAATTAGGGGCTATTTGGAAGTTCTTGACAAAAATATAGAATTTTTTTTTATTTTGGAATAAATATTGGTAAAAATGTTCTTAGATAATTATCTTCCTCTAATTTTATTGATGACCTACTTTTATCTCTTTTTCTTTCAACATTAGTTGATGACATGCAACTGTCATACCTCATTTCTTAAAATTTGAAAGAAGTGGCATGATTTAGTAGCTAGTTAAATAAATTAAAAATTTAATCAACGGATTAAATAGTAACAAGGCAGAAATACAAAGGCAAAATATATATTTCCTGTTTATTAACATTTCTAAAAATTTTCTTCCAAATTAAAAATATTGTCTCGTCTTCGATATATGTCTCCATCCCTCAACATGGCAATCAAATTTCAATCCCTTGGTCGATTTTTTAAGGCAAATCTACAAAAATTTGTCAATCATAATTTTACACCGTAAGATTCTATTAATCAATAATGATATTGTTAAAGGTCTTTATAATTAAAAAGAAATCCTAAAAGAGAATAGTTTCGTACCATATAAAAATATAAGAAAGAGAAATTATTTATTTTTATTTAAAATTTTGAAAAAGAAAAAAAAAACCAAATCGGCATGATGAAGTGAGCGTCCGGCATCCTTGGTGGGGCCCACAGATTAGCTTGACAATGGCCCACCAACTCATGGGTATGGCTAGTGGGCCCTCCATTGTTTTCTAAAGTCAGTTTTTTTCTAATATAAATATTTTTTAAAAATAAGAAATAAAAAAGGGCTGTGGAGCCGTTATCATTAACCTCATACACATTTACTTTTAGAGAAAATAATAATAATGTGGAAATTAATACTTAATATAATTTTTAATACAAAGGTATCTTTGAAGAATTTTCTTTCTATTTTTTTTCGGGAAAATATTTGGCTCCTCGTTTATTTATTGGAGTTTTTTTTTTTATCTTTGAATAAATTTATTTGGTAGTATTTAGATTTATTCTTCTTTTGGGAGAAGAAGAGAGATTTACGGATACCATTTGTATTTTATCTCAAATATTATAATTTAGCCTTTCAACTCTGTATTCAAAAAGTATTTTAGTTATTTTCTTTAATCATTTAGCAACCTGATGTATAGTGTGTATATTATAATTATTCTTTTTTAGAATATACATTAAAAAAAATTTCGGGTGTGAGAGTATAGGGCGGGAGAATTTTACCTTAAATCTCAAAGAAAGAAGTCTGTGTTCTTTACCGTTGTTAGACGAATATAATATTACAAATAGGGGTTGAAAATTCGAATTTTTAACCTATAATCAAATCGGTAGTAATATGTCTTTTATTAATAAACATGATGAAGGCATGTCTACTTAATTACATTTTTTAACTGTCAATTAGAGCCTAATTCAATGGTTAAGACGTCATTGACATCCCCATATTAATATTAGTGTGTTTGGGAATGATGGTAGAATAAGTGATTTTGAAAAAAAAAATCGAAAATCACCCTCGAAATAATACCTTAAAAAACAATTCAAAATGATTTCAAGCTTTTCTAAATCAATTTTCTAATTTATCAGATATAATTAATGGAACGAGGGTTGTTTTAACCCGGAGAAAAGTGATTTTATTCCTGTTAAAATCAAAACAAATAATAGTCCAGATGCTTGAAAATTATCACTGTAGAGAATTGTGGCATTAGCTGAAATAATTATTTTTATATGAAAGGAACTAAAGTAGAATACTATATGGTTTTTTTTTCTTTTCTTTTTTTCTCCTTATAAATCAAAACTTGAGATAATTTTGATAGGTAATAAATACATTAAATGCAATAAATAAACAATATCTTTTTTAAAATGCTTCTTATTGGATTGGCAATCCATTTTCTGAATTTTTTTTTTTATGTTTTTTTTCAGCTTATGATCAGAGCTGAAAAATTCCCAACAGTGTGATCTGAAGTCTTCTCTGGCTGTCATTCAAGCTTTTTGTTTAGTCTAAATAAAACAACTTCCCCATTACCCCTCCTTCCCTTCCACTCTTCTCCTTCTTCTTCCATCTTCTTCTTCTTGTCTCTCTCTCTCTTCATCTCTGCAAGAAAGATCAAATTTTTAATCTCCTTTTGTTGCCTCCTCTGTACATACTCAAAACAAACGCAAAACTCCACCACCCATGGCGCCCAACAAATTCGCCACCATCTTGCACAGAAACTCCAACAAGATCACGCTTATTTTAGTCTACGCCTTCCTCGAATGGGTTTTGATCCTTCTTCTTCTTCTTCACGGCCTTTTCTCTTACCTGATTGTCAAATTTGCAGAGTTGTTCGGGCTGAAGCGGCCGTGTCTATGGTGTTCGAGGGTGGACCATGTTTTCGAGCCCCGGAGGGGGAGATCGTACAGGGATCTTCTCTGTGAAGCTCATGCCATGGAGATTTCTAATCTGGGTTACTGTTCCAATCACCGGAAACTCACTGAGTTTCAAGATTTGTGCGAGGATTGCTCGTCCTCTGATTCCAAGTCCGAGGAGTTCTATCAGATTCCCAAGAGTTTTCCCTTTTTCGGCGATGAGAAGGGGAATTCCAGGCTCTGTTCTTGCTGTGGGGAGAGCTTGAAGAATCGGTTGTTCTCGCCTTGTATTCTGATTAAGCCGAATTGGGGGGATTTGGATTATGCCCAGAAGGGGAATTTGGTTTCTGATGAGGAAATTGATGCTCAATCGCCGGAAGATGTCATCGGAAACCGGGAAATCTCCATTGTTTCCGGCGGGGAAGAAGCAGAGAAGAACTCCACGTGCTCTGTTTGTGGCTGTGGATGCAAAGAGGGGGTTGTTCATGAGGAGGAGGATGATGATGATAAAGTTGAAATGGCTGCTGAAAAAGAAGGGGATTTTCTTGAATTAACTGAAGATCTGGGCTCTTGTGATCAGAAAGCAGTTCAAGTTGGATACGAGAAAGAGGAGGAATCAGCTGAAACAGCCCCTCATCATCTTGAGTTCTACATTGACCGGGGCGACGACCGGCGGCTGATTCCGGTCGATTTGATCGATTTTTCGGCCGACAACGACGACGAGGGTCAAAATGAAATGAAAGAAGATGAAGAGCAAGAAGAAGAGGATTGTGGGAATGAAGATGTTGTTTTGGATTTTGGCTCCCACTTTGAGAATCAGCTGAGTCGAAGTGTAACAGAGGATTGGGAAGTTGTTTCAGGAGAGAGATTAGCAGAGTTTCTCTCTGTTTCACTCCATGAGAGGGAAGAGAAAGTTGCTGAGGTGGAAGCCATGGATGTGGAGGAGAGCAGCAGAAGGCCCTCTGGTGTGACCTCAGATGAAGATCCATCAATGGAAGAAGAAGTAGAAGAACAAGAAGAACAAGAAGAAGCTAAAGCTGCCATTGATGAAGAAACTCAAGCTCCAGCTATTGACGGTGTTCAAAAAGAAGACCTTGAAGAAGTAGAAATGGCAACAAGAGAGCCAGATTCAGATCTTCATCAAGGTACTATTCTAGACTAGACACCAAATTGTAGTATAATGTTCTGTTTTTTGGAAGATCAAATGTGAGAAAGAAAAAAACTGAGTACTTTGTTGTGCTTGTTTATGTTCTTGTTTCTTTTTCAATAAATAAGTAGATTTACACATGTGGAATGATGAACCTGAAGTAGAAGTAGAGATTTCAATTGGGACGGAGATTCCCGACCACGAACCGATCGATGAGATTCAAACTCAAAATGACCTTCCTTCGCTACCCCATGTACAAGAAGAACCTTCCCCAAGTTCATCATTGGAAGTTGACAGTGTTCAAGGTAGCTTTCTTTGCTTTCTTTTCCCATATCCATCTGAAGATTTGAGCTAAATATGATCATTTACATTTTGCTGCATTCCACATTTAGATTCTAAGGAAGCTGAGGAAGCCAAGGAAGCCAAGGAAGATGTAGAGTTCAAGATCTTGTCTGTGGAAGAGAATTCTCAACCTTCAAACGATCATAAACCGTCAAGTTCTGTGCTAAATGAGAATGAGGAAGAAGATAAAGTTCCTGATACACCCACTTCAATGGACAGTTTCCACCAGCTACACAAGAAGCTGCTATTGCTAGACAGAAAAGAATCTGGAACCGAAGAGTCATTGGATGGGAGCATCATAAGCGAGACTGAAGGTGGAGACGGAGCATTGACAATTGAGAAATTGAAGTCGGCGTTGCAAACGGAAAGAAAGGCTTTGAATGCTTTATATGCAGAGCTAGAAGAAGAGAGAAGTGCTTCAGCCATAGCAGCCAACCAGACAATGGCAATGATAAATAGGCTTCAAGAGGAGAAAGCAAGTATGCAAATGGAGGCTTTGCAGTACCAAAGAATGATGGAAGAGCAATCTGAGTATGACCAGGAAGCTTTGCAGCTTTTGAACGAGCTTGTGGTGAAAAGGGAAAAAGAAAAGCAAGAGCTCGAGAAAGAGATCGAAATTTACCGAAAAAGGCTTCAAGATTACGAAGCCAAAGAGAGAATAGCATCGTTTAGGAACAGGAAAGATGGGAGTGTTCAAAGTAGGAACTCCTCGATTTCGTGTAGCAATGCCGATGATAGTGATGGACTGTCTATCGATTTGAACACCGAGGCAAAGAAGGACGAAGATTTCTTTCCGAACCAAGAAGCGAATAGTCAAAACACCCCGGCTGAGGCAGTCCTTTATTTGGAGGAAACATTAACAAACTTTGAGGAAGAAAGGCTGTCCATTTTAGAGGAGCTGAAGATGTTGGAAGAGAAGCTCTTCACCTTGAGTGATGAAGAACAACAATTTGAAGACATTGAACATTATTGTGAACAGAATGGGAATGGCTACCATAAGGATTCGGATTATGCCACAGAGACGAATGGGTTCGGAAACGGTCATCACGCCAAGGAAATGAATGGAAAACATTATCCAGAGAGGAGAGCAATGAGCACAAAGGCCAAAAGACTTCTTCCTCTTTTCGACGACGTTGTCGATGCAGATGTCGAAGATGGCATGACAAATGGAGACGAACAAGGGTTCGACTCGGTTTCAATGCAGAAGTCCCTAGACAACAAATTTGACACGGAATTCAGAAGGGTTGCAGTTGAGGAAGAGGTCGATCATGTCTACGAGAGATTACAAGCACTGGAAGCAGATAGGGAGTTTCTAAAGCACTGCATTGGCTCCCTAAGAAAAGGAGACAAAGGTCTAGACCTTCTCCAAGAGATCTTACAGCATCTCCGCGATCTAAGGAGCGTCGATCTGCAGTTGAAGAACATGGGGGACTCTGTCCTACAATGAAAATCCAAACAACAGCAGAAACAGGTAATTAAAAAGCCTTATGCCTCCTTGGCTTATTTCGTTTTAAACTCCAAAGATGCGTCGTAATCTCTGTCCAAAAAACAAACTGAATGAACTTGGTTCACTTGTGTCCAGTCCTTGGTAAAACATAATGTGGTCCTTTGGAGTTTTAACAGATGCAACAACCAACGATACCGAAACCCGAAACCCGTCATCATCGTCAACAAGATCAGAAAGCCTCCATATGGTGGAGCCTCCTGATATAACAAAATGGTGGACTAAACAAAACGGAAGTCTACCAATTCCACCCCTCTTCTGCTGTCTTATGAGTCAAATTTGGCCCAAATTTTTTGTGGGTTGTGTTCATGATCATCACCTTATGAGGGAAAGGTGAATGAAGTTGAAATTGTGTGTAGGGCAGTGAGGTGTAGCCAGTCTGTCATTTGTTTTTATGTTTTTTTGTGAGGCAAAGAACCTGGCTTGCAAAGCTGGAGAGATCAGAGGCAAAGATTCCAGTGCCAGGTACATATAGCTTTAGTTTTTGTTTAGGCAGTTTAGATTCAAGGACAATCCTTTTTCTTTCATTTTTTCCTTCTTTTATGGGAAAGGGGGGAGAAAATGGGTAAATAACCCATCTTTTTTCCCTTTCTCCATCATTTGCATCATTTCATCAAATGGGGTTTGCTTTTTTTCTTCTTTCCTTCCTTTACTATTTGAAGGCCAAAAAAATGAGTTCCTTGTACACTACATCTTTCCATTTGTAAAGTATATAAAAGTTGAGTGCTTTGTCTACACCTGTTTTTTAGTTTACTTTCTTTTCCTTCTATATCTTCGTTCACAAATCCCACTCGCCCATCGGAAAGTGAATAGGCTGATGGATAAGTTCTTCCACAAAACCAATCAAAGTCGGAGTCGTTTATGTTTACATTCATCGATCAATAGAAAAGTCTTGAATATAATATATAGTTGTAGAAACTTTATAGAGTGGAATATAAACCAAAGTTTGCTTTTAACAATGTATTTTGCTTCAAGTACAAAACAAGTCCCAAATAGGCACAGGCCAACCAAAAATTAATAAAATAGAATAAAGGGGTTATTTTTTAAATAAAACAAAGTGGTTGATGGGTGGGGACACAGAGTGGCCAGATATCATTATGGAAGCAAGCTTCAAAACTAAAATACTAATGAATTTGGTTTTTATTGGAACTTTAGAATAATTAATTTTTTAATTGTTAACCACATTTATGAAATAATTTTTTTTTTTAATGGTTTCTTTCGTTTCTTGTTCATCACTAATTCTACTATTTATCATAAATTCTTTGAATGATACAATTTATATGTTAATAATTTAGGTATTAGACACGTGTTAAGTACAATAGACATGTATAGAACATATTATATAGTTAAATAAATTAGATACGTCTTTGATATTTGTAAGCATAATAGATACGTGTGTGAATGTAGAAATAAATTGTTAAAACTTTTATTTCTCAGGGGAAAACTCTTTTTTTAGCCATGTATTCAGATTACCTATTCAATTATAACTATATACTTTCGATTTCATTGAATTATATCTTGAAATTGAATGATTACTTGTGAGATTTTGTGTCTTTTTTTTTTTTACTTTGATTTAGTGGCTAGGTTTGAGAGGTTTCATAACTGAGTTTAGATATTTTTCTTGTTTGATTTCTAAATTCTTTGTTGTTGACTTTTGTATAACTTATTAGTTTATTTGTGGACAATCTTATAAATAGTCTTGATAATGTATTGATTTCACAATTTTTTTTTTTTTAGTTTAAGATTCAACTGGATGGATTTGATTCAAGGGAGATGAGAAGAAACTTTTAAATTGAAAATTTCCTCTATTTATTTATTTACATTTTGAAAATTTACGAATATAAAAAGGAATAAGGACAAAAATAATAAGTCGAGAGAAGGGAGAAAAAAATATCAAACTTGTTTATTAAACATACAACAAATGCATAACTCCTTATTTTAAATTTTCATTTTCTGGTAAATTTTTTTACAAAATTATAAATTGTTTCCACATAATTTAAATACTATTTCGGTTCATTTACTACTTTGGTTTATTTTAGTTGTTGGACTTTATAAATGTTCATTTTGGTTGATTATTTTCAATTTTTATTCGTTTTTAACTTTTGTACTTTCAAAATGGATCTCCGTACTTTTAGAAAGTGACTAATTTAATCTTTATTTGTAAAATTTTAACACGAATTTTATACCCAATAAAAACTCTAATAAAAATTTATAGTTACATTTCAAAAAATTTAATGAGTAAATTGTCATGCTAAAATTACGATCAAAAGAAATAAGATAAAAATAAAAATGAAATGACCAAATTGATCACTTTTTAAAAGAACGAGGATCAAAATAGACATTTCGAAAATATAGAGACTAAATTGAAAATGTTCAAATCTAGATGTTTTAAAAGTATAAGTATAAAAAAAAAGGAGTGTAAAGTTGGAGAGCAAAATAATATTTAAATTTATTTACCTATTTTGATATAGGGCAAGCATTATATCATTAAAAATAAGCTACTAGTCACCATCTCAAGTATTACATATTTGATTACTTCCTTTTTATTCCCTCTCATATGAAATTTCATAAACTAAAACAATTTCTAATGTTTGAATTATCATAAATATATAAATTAAACATATATACATACATAATCTTCAAGTTTTTCCTAAATAACTTGTGGTGTTCGTAATAAATGGTTAGCAGACAGAACTTTTAATTATAATAAAATATTTTGAGAAATAATTTTTTTTATTAAATGGCCCAAAACCAAAAGTCCTTATTTTAAATTTTTTAGTACGGGTGAGTTGAGATATATGTCAGAACTAGATTCACACCTATTTTGAGTTTTTTTTTTTTTTTTTTTGAAAAGTTTAATTAAAATATAATTTTTGCGTTAAAGTATATTCCCTTTGAAAACAGTGTGCCATTAGATAAACCAAGGGTTGTTCAAGAAGCATATTTATGACTACGAAATTAATTAAGCTAAAGTCAATTTATTCCTTTTATAAATAATAATAACACTCACTTTCACTCATACATAATATCATAGGATTTTATGTATGAAACACATTATTTTATCAAATTTTCCTATATACTAAATTATAAATTTAACCCATAAACAGTTCTTTTTTAGAAAATTAATTTTGAAGTGGAAGATTGGAACAATTTTATGAGTTTTTTTACACCAATTAGTGTTTACTAGGACGATTTTCCCCGGTTTTTCTTTTGCGTTCGTAGCGATTTGGACTAGTTTGATCTATTCATATTTTTATTTAAAGTTAAAGTTTCATCCCTTCTTAATTTAATTAATAACTCATTATATAACTCATGTTTAAAATAATTATCTTTAAAAAAAATTGTATAAATAAAAATAATTTTTTTCAATAGTTGCAAAATTTTAGGCATTCCAATTATGTAATGTTTTATATTTCTCACCATTAAACTTAATTGCCAACAACTCAATTGCATAACTAAATTGGGCGCTAATGTATTATAAATTTCTGTCACAAGTTGAAATTCTTACCCTAACCCCTTATTTTAACTTTAACAAAGAAAACAATAACTATTAATTTTAATCAACTTTGTATTGACGCTTCCTTTCGCTTTATATTAAATTTTACTTTAAAAAAAGTCGAAGAAATCATATTCAGGTTCGCTTCAACTACTTTATTGTACTAATTAGTTTCACATAAATTATATCTCACTAATTAATTTGGCTTAAATATTATAGTAGGAATTTTATAATAAATTGATATATAGTTTTTTTTTATAACAATAAATTGACATATAGTTAATTCTAAGAAACAAAGACAATAAATAGATGGAAAAGATTAGAAAATAAAACCATAAAGTTTCTCCACTCACAACCCCATTTAAATATAGATATATATAGTATAGAAGTTATTATACGATTTATTTGGTAATCGTTTTTGTTTTTTTAAGTTTGGTTAATAATAACTATTTTAAATAAAATTTAGGTACGTAAATGAGAAGGAAGGATTTGTACAAAAGTATGCTATTAATTAATGATTATTTAATTACTAGGTGGCATCTAATTAAAATTTAAAATTATTGAAAATTTTTAGACGACAAGTTTATTTAAGAAGCAATTTGATAAGTGCTCTCCCTTTTAGTAGCCAACAAGTAGAGAATCCTTTCCAGTATTATATTCTTTAAATAAGCATAGTTTGATCTAATCACATTTAATAAAATACGTTAAATTTTTTTAACATGTATATATTTTTTTTTTATTTGGGACTCCAACCCATCCATTCTACTTCAATTTTGAAGCGAGCATAATTGAGGGGCAAAAAACTTGTTACTATCTTATAGTTTGTTCAACCTTTCAATGCTAGGTAACTATTAAATTAAAAAAAATAATAATTTATACTTTTCATTTCATCGAATTAAATTTGAATTTTAAATAAAATATGAAATTAAAACTCTAGATTAATTAATTTTAAGAAATAGAGATGGTTAATTATAAGAACTTTTACGGACATGATAAAACCTTTTCTTTCACATTAACATTCTCTCCTCCCGGTATTTTCGTAATTGAATCCGTGGATGGCGAGTTCTGGAGAGGTCCACGTGTCTTTTAGAACAAGGTATCGACGGGGGAAAATGAGCTTGCAACTAGGTCGACGTCCCGCCTAAAAAACTCTGATGATCAAGTTAGTAATCAGAATAAAAGATAAGGATAAACACCTTATTAAAGTAGTGAAGATGTTTCAGTTACTAGGTAGTGATGGGGTTCTTCCCTTTTATAGCTTTTTTCAACTCATCAGGAAGGACGACGATTTGAGGTACAAGATTGTGTCTTGTTGTACGAGGTTCTGACAGATCAGAACAGAAATCCCTAATGCCGAGCAAGTGGCACCGTCGCCTGCCAGTTTGTCTCCCCCTGCAGGCTGCAGCCTATAGCTTGCAACGTGCCTCTCATATAACCCTAGCAATGGTGCGTCCAGTACGAGTCTGCAAATTACGTTTCCAACTGTTTGTGGTCCCATGTCCAGCGATCTTCCCAGCGCTTGATATGTCATTTGCTTGCATTTCTCCCTCAATGCACTCTAAGCATTTTTGTGTTTTGTTTAATAAATTTTGAATGCATTATTATTTGATTGGTGAAATTTCTTTTATATTTTACTTAATAGATATATTAATTTCACCCTTCATTTTAGATTAAGGTTCAATAAAATGAGATTCAAAATTTAAAGTTAAAATTGATTTAATAAATAGTGTAAAAATATTATCTCTAATTTCAATCATTTTTTTTTATAATTATTTTTGGTGGCAATTTAAATCTACGACATTTATATTGAAAATATATGTATTAATCAGTGAGCATTTTCTTTTAATGTAACATGCGCGAGAGTAAATGATCAAACTTACCGACTGCTAGTTGGAGAATTACTCATAAACCAAACTTAATTAGTTCAACATTTATTCTAAGGTAATTTGGTATGGTTTGGTTGTGATAATGATTAACAAATATATAATATTAAAAGTACTATCTAAATATTTTTATTGATTAAAAGATTAATTTAATAGTGCACACAAGGAAATAGGACCCACATAGTAAATAATAATAGTAATAATCACCAGAAACGACAAGACATTGATTTAATTCCCAATACACCCTTAAATATTTTGGAAATTACAAGAATGCCATGATCAAAAGTCAAAGTCAGTGTATAGGACGCGAGTCATAAGAGTAGGCTCTGTTTGTTGGTCCCTCGGGACTGAGGTGG